CTGAAGAGTCAATGAGTCGATGCAATCAGCTGGTTTTCCTTAGATAGAAAACCCCGTCAAACCAGCGTATTCATAGGTAATACGCATTTGCAAGACGTCAGTTTTGCGTTTATCTCTTTCGTAACGTACAAAAAAAAAATATTTAAGGTCAGATCGCCATACGCTTCAAAAAACACCAAAAAGTAAGCAATTAAATAGTTTTTTTGTACATGACTATAGGGATACACGCCCGTTGAGGGAGTTTATTATTTTAATTTTGTAAGAAAAATACATCTTAAACAGGTTTTGACTATGTGTATGCTGGTCTGACGGTGTATGCTGATCTGACAGAACACCGGTTGTTTTCTGTTTCCTCGGTAACCAAACGTTGGAAGTATTTAGCTTGTTAAAGGGGAAGTTTAAACAAGAGGCTAAAATCTAAAGCCAACAGCTTTCTAAAGGTTTTAATCTAATAATTTGAGGAGTTTCGTTCTGGAAGCTGCAGTTTGTTCAATCTTTGCGGCGTGAAGCTTCGGTGTTTGATGCTCCTGAGCTAGCAGGTTTTACTAGCGCTCCGCGTATCTTCATGCATCCTTTTAATGGGCCGTTTTTATCTTTTATTGCCGCCTTTTTTCTGGGATCTGGGAAGTTTACCCAAAACATCAGAACTAATTAGGCCTTGGCGAGCGGCGAACCACAGAAGATGTCTCTCTTTAACCGCCGCATTAAATGAAGTCTTTGGGCTTTTAATGTTGACTTTATGGAGTTGTGTTTCTCGTTAACATTTTTCTCAGGTTTTTTAATCTGGAAGGCGTCCATGAGGGCGTCGTCCTCCCCGTCTTTGGCCTACAGTAGAGCGTTCAGATCTTTTTATTGTAACCTGGTGCGTCTCGTCTTTGTTGGAGACAAAGAGGAAGGCAGGATGGGGGGGGGAGCCAGCTGATTCCTGGACTGAATTAAAATTCCTGCGCTGTCGCACGTGTTCCCTCTGGTGGGAATCTCTTGGGCTGACCTGAGATTTAGGAGCAGAGGGGTCAGGGCCACGGATCATTATCTGCTCTCCATCCAGCCAGGGGATGGGGTAACGGGGGGGGCCTCCCGGGCGGCTCCGGGGGCCTCCGACCCGAGTGAGTCAGCATTCCAGGTCATTCCTCTCACTCTACACTCTGACAACGTGACGGACAGAGCCGGTCCCTGAACGGCGGCAGGAATAGCTCGCTTTGCTTCCCTGTCGGTCTGCCGGGACCCGCCTGGATTTCTTCCCGCTCATGACGGCCCGCCGGCGGTCCGTTTGTAATGTCAGGTTGATAGAAGACATGAATCACGGCCCCTCTCACTGGAAGATGCAGCTTTTCTCTGTTTTTAGCTAACGCACGCGGTTTCTCCGGAGGTTGGCCGGTTTTTAGGTTTCAGACGGATCCTGGTTTTAGACGGAGAAGTTCAAAGGTCCTGGTGGAGCGGAGCGCGGAAACAGCTCGGGTGTTCTGCTGCTCCGTTTGTCTTGGAAAAAGCCTGGAGGTCGTCTGGTTTATTGATGCAAGGTTCCGTAATGAAGGTGGGAAACGATGCCTGATGCCGAGCAGCTGTCGGAGGAAGTCATCCGCCTCCATCCCTCGTCTTCATTCCTCTAAGTCCCACAAACAGAACCAAAAACGGATCTATAAATTTAAGCATTTCTAGGTTTCTCTTTTCAACATTTCATAATTTAGGGCTTTGCACAATGTTTACTTTAATCAATTAGTCACTGGGAATATTTCCTTGTTTGGGTTTAGTTAGAGCCAAATGGTTCTGATGGTTTGGGACCTAAAGTTCTCAATTAAATTCTATTCAGT